TATGTTCAATAAACAAACAAACAAACAAACAAACAAGATAAGGTCTGGGTGTGTCTGGGCAGCATCAAGTATTCCATGATAAATGGGTTCAAATATTTAAAAGAAAAAGTCCAACAAATCCAATCTTCTCAATCTTTATTAATAACAGTTCAAAACTTGAATGATTCTTCAGAACTTGAACATGGTTGATGACCAAGTCCTTTTCCTCTTACTTAACATACTCCTCAACAAAAAAAACCTAATCCGCCTCCTATTTTCCTTAAAATTGGCTGTTCTCATCGTCAACATTTCTCCTCATGGCAGGTTTTGAAAAAGACATGACTTGGACTGGGTAACTGAGGATTTTTTTCTTTCACTCGGTGTCACTTCAGAATACCGTTTCGTCGAAAGCTGTCATGATCCTGAGCTGTGGTAGCCCATAAAAGGGACTTTCAAACACAGACAAACAAACACCATGGGCAACAACACGGCAAAAAAATGTGGGGGCCGCACTAACATTAAACATTGATGTGAAGTAGGGGGCAGCAAAATACCATCCTATGGCCCACAATTGTCCCTGTGAGTTTGAGACCACTGGTTTGGGTTTATGTCTGCCATTGTCAACAGTGGCTCATAGCACTTATGGAAGTGGCATATCAACTTCAGAACCCCCTTGAATACAGAATTGAAAAGGAAAAATGAAAAAAGCCTTACTGTGCAACTAAAATAGGATGTGCTTTTTTGTTGTTGTGTTTTTGTTTTGTTTTTTTGGGAGGATTTTTTTTGTTTTATTTGAATTGACTTTACTGGACATGAATATTAAGATAGCACGATCTTCCTGTTCCATATTATAAATTAAAAACATAAATTTGAACTCTAATGGACCGACCATTATTTTTGGTTTAGGCATCTTTAGCCAACGATCTTATTGTGGATGAATACCTGAAAACTGCCCAAACTCCACATGCCATCAGAGACGGATTCACTGAACTCATGGGAGACCTCCTGATGACGCTACCTGTTGTCAAAGTGGCAGACTACCTCACAGGTCAGAAATGTATTTATTTATATGTGTATACAGTGTATGTATGTATCACTTGCGGATCTCATCTGCACATGCGTGAAAATCAAGCTGTTCAAAAAATGGCTATCAAAAAAACAAGTGGTCATTGAAATTTATTATGCCTGTGCTAAAGTGTATGCCTAACTGTACACGTTAAAGCTTGGAGGTGTGTAAGCCTTAAGTGAGAAAAGAGCAAATGCACTTTCTGCCCTGTTTAACTGCTCTCATGGAATTTACAGGCTTGAACCTTGGCGACAAAAACACCACTGCAAACCTCTAATAAGTTCACCCAAAGACAGAAAGAAGAAATGCGGTTGCAACCGCTGTTCATTTTTCACAATTTCCCGACAGAAAAGAAAGATAGACTAAAATTGTAAATTTCCTGAGCACATTTATTTTGTCAATATCTTGTGAATGAGGGAACAGACAGAGGCTAAGTATGGTAAGCAACTAGCGGAGAGCAAATCCAATGGAAAGACAGAACCAGACCAAAAGAAATCATTTTCAAGTCACTGTCACCTTTTAAATCCTGAAACATTTCCACATTGTGTTGGTGTTAAATAATATTACGCCATCGAATTGGCGATCGATTGCCTTGGTCACAGGTGTCAAACTCAAGGCTCGGGGCCAGATCTGGCAAGGCACATCATTGTATGTGGCCTGCCAAAGCAAATGATGTGCATCCACTTCATATTCCTTGCTGAAATACCAAAATTGCAAACTGTCTTCACTTTTAAAAATGCTGAGATATTGCAAGCATTTTGGTTCCCAATCCCACTTTTTAAAATAAATGTAATAATATTTGAATAAAAAAGTTTTTATTGGCCTCTGATTTCAAAACTAGTTTTTCACCAATTTGTCGTGTAGCCCACACGTAATATGAGACGGTTCTACATCAATTTGGGTTCATAGTTGTAACGGCCCTCCGTAGGAAACCATAACTATGATGTGGCCCATGACGTAAATGAGTTTGACACCCCTGCTTAAGTGTTTCACTGTCTTCAGATCACTTCATTCACATTGGTTATGTGGTCAAAACAACACTTCCGTTCATGCAATTTGTGGTTTGCTAGCAGCGTTGGGAGCAATGCATTACAAAACTAGTGATTTACTGAGGCATTACATTTGTCAGCAAAGAAGCAATTCAACATAGAGTATTATAGGAAACTAACGTGTGCGACAAAGTCATTGTGTTATGTTCTATTAGCCCCATGCATTGGGGCCAAGCACCTCAGCCATTGATTCAGAGCTTGCTTCCAGCCCTTGACCCATCACTAAGGAAAGGTCCTACCTGTCTCTTCCCCAGTGTCACTCCTTGGTCCCGGTACAATACCCATATTGAGCCAAATGCCATTAAACACTTGACTACCGGTAAGCTTCATAATAGTGTCCCAGCAGAGAGTGGCCATTGTACTGCATATGAAATGACACAGGCTGTGCATTTTCCGGTGGTCGAAATGGTCCAAGACACAGTTTTATTTGTTGTTTTCCACTATTTATGAATACCATTTGGTAGCCCAAAAAAAATCACATTACCCATAATGCGCCCGTGACCCGAAACCTGCAAGTCATTTATTATTAATTTTCAGACACAGTGCTACTATAATCTGTTTTAAACATCCAGTTTGATGAAAGGTAACCCCTTTAGCGCCAAAGTAGCAAAATTGCACCAGCCAACATTTATAGTATGCCTTTATCTGTAACCATTTTCAAGCTACAACCTTTTGAAACCGTGATATCAAAACTGAATATTTTGTTGAAAAAAAATTCTGGCGCCTGAAGGGGTAAGATAAGATATTTCAGGCATGCCTCTTACGTACTGTAAACAAGTGATAACAAACACCAATGACAAATTTGTTAAGCTGCATCCTTTAATTAACCTTGTCCATCCATCAGCTGTATTGAAATTGTCTTTTATGTTCAGATGCGGGCAATCCAGTTTACATGTATGAATTTGGATATCGTGCTGCCGTGCACAAAGGCTCCAGACCCACTTTCGTGAAGGCAGATCATGGTGACGATGTCGGCTTTGTGTTTGGTGGATGTTTCTGGAGTGGAATTGTAAAAATGATTGGTATGTTGCATATTATATACAACCTTGAATTCATAAAATACTATAAAACAGGGGTGTCCAAGTCCGGTCCTTAAGATCCCCTCTCCAGCCTGTTTTAGATGTCTCTCTTCTCCAAAATAGTTGGAGGAGAAACACATTTAAAACAGACTGAAGAGGGGCTCTCTATAGAACCACGCGTTTCAATGAATGAAGTAATTGTTCAGAGGTGCTGTTGATGCCGAAAATAACATTTACTTCTCACATGCACCCACAAACCTCTCACAGTCTCTTACCTTTTTAGTATGCGGGTGGTGGGGGTAGTTGCTGTGAGAAAGTTGGTTTTTTTTTGGGAGTGATGGTTATTTTGGTGTATGTGACATGTTTTTGCATGTGAGAGGATTTTGTGATGAATGTAATAATTTTTGGGGGTGGAGAATGTCAGAGGTAAATGTTATGTTTGGCTCATTGGATCATTGTCCATATGACTTATCTGATTCCCTTGGATGTATTTTCAGGAAATATTACCACAGAGGATGAACAACATTGTTTAACGATAATGAAATACTGGGCCAATTTTGTCCGTGCTGGGTAAGTAAGAATGACATAAAGCTAAATAGCTTTCCATCTATGTATTTATACAATACAATACAATACATGCTGATTTATCTAGCGCTTTCACAAGAGCGGCAGCTGTAACAAAGCGCTGAACAAAACAGTTAACATAAAGTAAAATAAACACAACACATAACATAAAATATTTATCAAGCTTCCATTATCCTCATGGTAACAATTTCTCGGGGGTGTGTATCTATGACCGATTGAACATCCAAACAGAGAAAAGAAACATCAGCAGTCTCAAAAGAAACATGAACACTAAAGTGATGGACAGGAGTACATGCCAGAAATTTTTCAATGGGGTGGAAGTGTGACGCAATTCACTGAGGACAGCACGTGTCTCATATCTCTCTGTAATTGAGTCATTGTTTATGATAACTTGTACAGTGGAGGTTTCATGAAATAAAATGTACAAATACACAGAACCTTGCCCAACACATTCATAACACAAGAAGGAAAAACGGACATTTTAATTTTCTACATCATGCCATTTTCTTTGCTGTTGCGTACTATCTCATAGTTTACTTATGGCTCATGCGTTCATTTGTTAGCTATCAGCCAAATAGAGTCATCAATTGTCACCGACGGCCAATGTCATTTGGCATATTGCGATTAATTCAAATCATATCTGAAGAGAACAATGACACAAATATCTTGTAATTCTTCACAAGTCTAAATGTCGCTTTTTATATAGATTTGTTCCCACTTGTATTATGAGTGTGCTGGGCAAGATTGGTACATGTCTGCATTTTATTTCATGAAAGCTGACTCTGGATGTTGTGATAAACACTGACTTTTCCGCCATGTTGGTTGTTGTGAATGTTGTGAAAGTAATGATTTGGCGTTGACTGTAACAATCAAATTTTCTTTAGTGAATACAGATTCAGTTACAGTTTGCAGACAAATCCATTTTAAATATACAATTAATATAAATGTTTTGCGGCAGAGTGACAAGGGATCTAACAAACTGCGTTTGTGTGAAAATGGCAGGCCGCCCCAGTGATGAACAAGATTTGTAATTAATAGGATCAAGACACTTGTTTTTTCATTAACCACTTAAGTATTGTCTAACCCCCAACAGCAGAATCATTTATCATCATACCTTGTGAGATACATACATACATACATACATACATACATACATACATACATACATACATACTTACATTCATACATACATACATACATAATACGTTGACTATTGCAATGATGGCCTTTTTATATGTTTCTCCTTAGTTCACCCAATGGGCCAGGCCTGGTCGCTTGGCCTCAGTATGACAGGCAGAAGCAGGAGTACATGGAGCTTGATGTGAAACAAACTGTTCGACAAAAACTGAAGAAGGATAGAGTCCATTTTGCAACGGTCATTCTCCCTCAGAAAGTGGAAATGTTAGCTGCAACAGCCATATCTGGAAACTGAACTCTAAAAATGGTTGCTTTGTGTCTATTGCTACTACTTCAAGGATGGAGATTGTTTTACACCTCTGCCTCAAATGAGTGGCATGATCCCTTATAACCTTTGAGTAATGATTACCGTACTAGGGTATGTTCAAGTATGTACAAAAAACATGGCCTGGTTATTCACCTGATGTACATTTCATAATAATTGATGTAATCAGTGGAAATCATTCTCTGCTAATAAATACAACTGCTACGACACATTTGAAGGCTTAAACGCCTTTGTGAATTATCTTTGGCGCTGTGTTAAAAGGCTTCTACAGGGCAAACACACATCTATAAAGTGGCTTGAGAGATTTTTTCAAGAAATATAAATTATGTATGATGAAACAGAATTGCTGAAAACGTGAAAACAACTAACTGAGAACTACGTAGTATTGAATGGTGTAGCTATAGTGTTAAATAGTTTTCACCATTTCAGTTTTCGAAACTTTTTGAGCGTGGCCAAATCGGGGCAGAGTGAGGCCATTGGGCAGCCATCATTTGTCGGCCCTCATCCCCCAACATAAGAACTGAAACCCTTAATTGACATCAGTACTTATGCAACGCCCTTATGAGTAACATAGTGATGACTAATATGCCCATTTCTACCACTAAATCATGCGGTCAGCTAGGTGGCAATGCTGAAAATGCATCTTCATATAAATTACGTGGGACCCACCCAATAGTCTAAACATGGTGTTCTGATTAATATTACGTTCATGCACGAACAGTTAACCGCATTCATCCATCCATTTTCATCAATGTCAAAGATTCTGCCATCTTGTCCTCTACTGTCCTTTGCTGGCACCTGACGTTGATGTCAAAGTACCCACGGACTCACATTACGAACATCTTATGTACCAACACACAAAACAGGTGAGCCATGAGGTTCGCAATGCAAGCCTCAGGGAACTTTGATGCATGTGACATTTAAAATGTAAGCACTGACATCAATTCAGTCGACAGCAGAGGGCGGTAGAATGTCAAGATGGCTGCTTCCTGAGACGGAAGAAAACAGGTGGATTAATCTACTTAATTATTATTTCATGCAATATTAATCAGAATACCACGATCACACTAGTTAGGGCACATAGAATATAGTATTGGAAAGAAAATTATTGTCTTGTGTCAGAGGGGTAATATCATGGTGATATACATACATACATACATACATACATAATACGTTGACTTATTGCAATGATGGCCTTTTTATATGTTTCTCCTTAGGTCACCCAATGGGCCAGGCCTGGTCGCTTGGCCTCAGTATGACAGGCAGAAGCAGGAGTACATGGAGCTTGATGTGAAACAAACTGTTCGACAAAAACTGAAGAAGGATAGAGTCCATTTTGCAACGGTCATTCTCCCTCAGAAAGTGGAAATGTTAGCTGCAACAGCCATATCTGGAAACTGAACTCTAAAAATGGTTGCTTTGTGTCTATTGCTACGACTTCAAGGATGGAGATTGTTTTACACCTCTGCCTCAAATGAGTGGCATGACCCCTTATAACCTTTGAGTAATGATTACCGTACTAGAGTATGTTCAAGTGTATGTACAAAAAACATGGCCTGGTTATTCACCTGATGTACATTTCATAATAATTGATGTAATCAGTGGAAATCATTCTCTGCTAATAAATACAACTGCTACGACACATTTGAAGGCTTAAACGCCTTTGTGAATTATCTTTGGCGCTGTGTTAAAAGGCTTCTACAGGGCAAACACACATCTATAAAGTGGCTTGAGAGATTTTTTCAAGAAATATAAATTATGTATGATGAAACAGAATTGCTGAAAACGTGAAAACAACTAACTGAGAACTACGTAGTATTGAATGGTGTAGCTATAGTGTTAAATAGTTTTCACCATTTCAGTTTTCGAAACTTTTTGAGCGTGGCCAAATCGGGGCAGAGTGAGGCCATTGGGCAGCCATCATTTGTCGGCCCTCATCCCCCAACATAAGAACTGAAACCCTTAATTGACATCAGTACTTATGCAACGCCCTTATGAGTAACATAGTGATGACTAATATGCCCATTTCTACCACTAAATCATGCGGTCAGCTAGGTGGCAATGCTGAAAATGCATCGTCATATAAATTACGTGGGACCCACCCAATAGTCTAAACATGGTGTTCTGATTAATATTACGTTCATGCACGAACAGTTAACCGCATTCATCCATCCATTTTCATCAATGTCAAAGATTCTGCCATCTTGTCCTCTACTGTCCTTTGCTGGCACCTGACGTTGATGTCAAAGTACCCACGGACTCACATTACGAACATCTTATGTACCAACACACAAAACAGGTGAGCCATGAGGTTCGCAATGCAAGCCTCAGGGAACTTTGATGCATGTGACATTTAAAATGTAAGCACTGACATCAATTCAGTCGACAGCAGAGGGCGGTAGAATGTCAAGATGGCTGCTTCCTGAGACGGAAGAAAACAGGTGGATTAATCTACTTAATTATTATTTCATGCAATATTAATCAGAATACCACGATCACACTAGTTAGGGCACATAGAATATAGTATTGGAAAGAAAATTATTGTCTTGTGTCAGAGGGGTAATATCATGGTGATGGGCCCTGGTGTAAAAAAAAAAAAAAAAAAAAGTTCCCGAACCCCTGCCCTAAACACAGGTGCTTGGCCTCACACACACACACAGCCACTCGAGAGAACTGCAGTTGTCACAATGTGTTTTTGCAGTTTTAATATTGTGATTAACAATACCACAAACAAAAATTTTCTATTTATTATATTCTGTTTTACAGCCTCGAATCCTGTTTGAATATATGCAAAAAGCTCATCACGCCCCCCCACAAAAAAACAAAAACAAAAAACAACAGCAATAGATTGCCATCGATGTAAATCCCACTAATTTCCCTTCACAACAAAAAAGAAGCTGGACCCACCCATGAGAAACTCATCTTACGGGCCTTGCACTCAGCAAAGTCACTTCGGTCAAGAGAACACAAGCAAGTTGCTGTTAAATAGCTTAAAATACCGTGCCACTGTCTCAAAATATAAATACAGTATTTAAAGAGACTTCATTTAATGATATAATGTAATGATAATAATGATAAGACGACTAAAGTAAATAACTAAAACTGGCAAAGTCGTCGTTTCCTAATGTGCGTGTATTTATTCACTAAGTACATGCTGTTACTTTACTGCGGTGACTTTACGAAGTCACTAGGCGGGATGCGAAAAGCAGAAAAGTCTAAATTCAAAACAATAAATACATACATACATACATACATACATACATACATACATACATACATACATACACGCACACGCAAACGTAGGCACACACTCACACACGGTTTCGGGAAACATCTGCACGGTGCATCGGTCGGCAGTTACAGGAGAGCGCCCGAGAAAACGAGGTCACTCAGGGGAACTTTTTGCTGATGAAAATAAGAAAACGTGGGCATAGATTTCAGTCAAGGGCGTCACAAATAAGCGCAGGAACACAGAGCTGGCACTTACGCTGTCATGACCAAACTGACCTGGCAGAAGGTTTACATACATGATAATTTTGCGTTTTTTCGCAAATTTTCCCCCAATCTCTTTTTCGTCGTACCGGACTATAATAAATGTATTATTAGTCACGACAATAATAACATATATCAAAGAGTTATCAACATCTCAAGGAGCTGGATCCACATGGCGCTGGTGATTGGCTGCACTGCCTTCAACGTCATGTGGGTTCTCCTCGCGTCATTCCGTTCTTGCGCATGCTCACTTCTGCAAGACAAGAGTCACCACCAGCAAAAGCAAAAGCGACAACACTGGACAGCAGAGAGAAGCAGCTCATCTTCCTGTCAGCAAACCTCCTCTCCTGTACGTACACCTCTACTTTATGTTTCGTGACATTCATAAATACTTTGTAAATGCCTCACACTTTCTCGGTGTTTAATGTTTGAACGCAACGATTGTCTGTTTGCTTATTTGAACGGTGTCAGAGTTCTCTGTCCTGTCCTGTGCTGTCTGTCAGCGCTTTATTTTTGGGGAACCGTTATGGATGTTTGACCATAATCATTTCGCCAGTGTTTGGCCTGTTAACGAAACCGATTTATCATCGTATTCCGTAAAACATGGCTACGCAGCGACGCTTATCACATTGCAGCGTGCAACCTTCAGGAAACGTCAGCCAGCCAGCCTTTTGCTGTTTATTCAGTGCTGCTTCCTTCCTTAACAACTCTGCGTGCACCTCTCAGGTTCAAATTACAGGTCTGCGGTGATGAGCAAGAATGATCCCTTTATTTAACATTGCGCAATAAAGCAGACTTAAAAATGTAGACCATAGAATGGAAAAATAAGTTATTGCCACTGTTTGAAGATGTTTGTGCTTCATATTTTAATACTGTCCTACTGCTCGATTTGATGAAAACACAAATGTCTTCTCCCCCCGCCCCCGTTTTATTTCTGTCTGGGAAGCCTTTTTCTTGTGTGTCTTTTCTAAATCGAGGTCTTGTTTAAGCTACAGTGTATTTCGATGCGGTGATTGACAGTCAGCCTATCTTCTGTGTCGTTCTATTCCTCGTCACTGTCTCCCCTGCAGACGCAGGAAGCAAGTCATGTTTCTGTCATATTGTGGTGGGTGATACGCTTGGTTGGGAGGGTTTTTAATTCAAGTAGCTATCTTAATATTACTCTATGTATATATGGCTGGCTGCACGATAAATAAAAAACATCGTCATCAAGATAATGGCCCGTTCAGTATGCGTTTCGCAAAGACGTGCGACAGACAGACATACGGATAGATAGATAGGTAGGTAGATAGATAGATAGATATCGTTGCGTGCATAGAATGAATGAATGCACCATGTTGCTTGAGTAGCAATATGTCGCATATGATTCGATTCAGCCCTCCCTGCGTGTGCTTTAAGCCTTTTCATGACACCCCCGTTGGAGTTCACTGTAAAACTAAAAGCATTATAGGCATTGTACATTTAAATACAAGACGTGCTTGGTTCATTAAAAAAAAAAAGAAAGAAAGAAGACATTGCCAGTACTAATTCGAAAGTCACTGTAAAATCCCGATGACATGCAAGCGGAAAATTTGCATCTGCTTCCCAGAGTGGTATTCCTTCAAATAACGAATATTCATGCACACACTAACAAATGTTGGAGGAACACATAAATACAGTTAGTATAACAATACTCAAGGGCACATATTCTTCTCAATCTGTCAAAAACAAGTTATATTAATAGAGCTCTTTTACAACTTTCTTCTACTCTTCTTATCCCATTTTAAGTGTGTGTTCTATGCATACACGGCACCATAGTGCGCTGAAGAGGCCAATAAGGAACAGCTTGTATTTCCATCCATTCATCATCTGAACCACTTATCCTCATGAGGGTTGCTCGCATGCAGAAGCCTATTCCAGCCCTCGTTGGGCAGTTGGCGAGGTAGACCCTGAGCTGGTTGCTGGCCAATCGCAGGGCACACCTATTTTGTATTTCTTGTTTTTGATTGCAGTTACAGTATTTTAATTATGCTTCCCATTGATTGGATGCAAGACTCCAGTTCCTTTTTCATATGATGATTTCATAGCAACACACTAATATTTAGACATACAACATATCACATTTACTAAAAAGATAGCATTGCTTAGCGTCAAAGCTCATCACAATATAGGCCCTGTATGCCGGTGTGCATTATGTACATTTATTTGGCTGTAGGGATTAAATGTTTGTTTTGTTGTACTGTAGAAAGAAAGGAAAATGAAAAAAAAAAGTATTCGCAACAGGCAATACAAAATAATACTGACCACTATGGCCTACTTTCAACCAAGGGCAGTCTTCTCCCAGAGAGAGAAACCTGTGCAGTCAAAAATGTGATGCTTCGACAAACTTCTTTTTCAAACTTTGTATATTCACTCTCTTTTGGCAAAACAGAGGAATGACCAGGAAAAAAGGAACCAACACGCATGGCAAATGCTGCAATGACAAGTGCTTCTCAGTCTATACATGAGTCTTATGGAGATACTCTAACACGCAACTTCTGGTTTAACTTTGTTTTTGTTTTTTTTAACCAACACACATATTTATGGCTCGAAATACAATACCCCGCGTCCCAGGTCAGTTTGCATGTTTCTACTGAGTGTATGTTTGCTGTCTCATAAATAAACCAGACGTTACTACATGAAATGACACATCAAGTAAAATATTCTCTCCTTATCGGTCCGTGGTGATACTCATTGGCCAACCTCACTCTCACCTCCCGTATCTTGTCAGCTACTTCTGCTTGTCATACATTTATTGCAGCATTTGATGCTGTGAAATTGTCACCCGGCCTGATTGCAGTGCTTCTTTGAGAGATGGGAGAGCCGCTCCTAATCATATTTTATTTTCTTCAAACCCATGCCTGTAACCATAACGTATACACAGGACATTTAGATATACAGTAATTCCTCGTTTATCGCGGGGCTTACATTCCAAAAAGAACCAGTGATAAGTGAAATCCGTGAAGTAGGATTTATAAATAATAAAAAAATAAAAAAAAGTGTGAGAGGGACGAAATTTCAAATGTGCTGTATACAGCACAACCCCTCTCGAGAGAGCTGGTACCAGAGCCCAGGCTGTGTGTAGAGGCAAGTCCGACTATATCCAGTCGGAACTTCTCTGCTTCACACACCACCTTGGGCTCCTTTCCTGCAAGAGAGGTGACATTCAATGTCCCTAGAGCTAGCTTTTGTAGCCGTGGCTCGGACCCTTTGGCTGCCGCGCAGCTCGCATTGCACCTGACCCCTTAGGCCCCTCCCATGGGTGGTGAGCCCATGGGAAGGGGGACCCACATTGCCTCTTCGGGCTGAGACCGGCTGGGGGAAGTGGGTGTAGACCCGGCCACCAGGCGCTCGCCAACGAGCCCCACCTCCAGGCCTGGCTCCAGAGGGCGGCCCCGGTGAACCGCGTCCGGGCAAGGGAAACTTAGATCCATTAATTTCAATCATCATAAGGGGTCTCTGAGCCGTGCTTTGTCTGGTCCCTCACCTAGAATATGTTTGCCATGGGTGACCCTGCCAGGGGCATAAAGTCCCAGACAACTTAGCTCCTAGGGTCATTGGGAAACACAAACGCCTCCACCACGGTAAGGTGACGGCTTACGGAGGGAATTGTGTGGCAAAATAGACTTTTTTCCCAAATTGCATCAGTTGCTCATTGCCAATTCAAATCCTTGTTGTTTTTAGCAGTGAGTGCCCCTTTACATTTGCCAAACCAAATTGTGGTAGCTAGTTGTTGCTGAAGACCTGAGCACTCCAAAAGCTAGCTTTTCGCAGAAAGCAAAGCACAATCATGTCATACAGTTGTAATGTTTTCTTTCTTTTGTTTACAGATGCAGAGTGTTTGTGATGTCCAAATTAGCAGCGATTTCAGTTCAACGCAATCAAGACAAATTAAACCTCATGCGGCCTCACTTGCAGCCACAGTTCTGTTCCCGCAGAGCACTTAGTAGCTCAGTCTGAAACCTAAAAGGCACGAACCAGCGTCGAGTCGATTGCAATGGACAACCTCATAGACTTTGATCTACCATCTGAGGCGACAACTCTTCATGAGGCGCGAGACAATCTTCAGGGCCATTCAGACATACTCTCCCCACAGCACCTGTCCTCCTCATTATCTGAGCCAATTGCACCCACCAACAACAGTTCGCATCACCATCATGACGACGAAGAAGAAAACGAAAGCGATGCAACAGGATCTGCCGACAGTGAGAATGACATGGATCCCCCCTCCACTATGTGGGAACTGAGGCGGTCGTCATCCTCATCTGTTCACAGTAGTGAGGACGCTGATGCCGAGGCCTTAGAGAAAAGGGAGTTCATGAAGATTTATGTGGAGAAAGTGTTTCATGGAAGGTAAGGCACGTGTTCGTACTTCGGCCAAGCGTGAATCATGCAAGTTTAGTCTGGTAGATACTTGAGTCGTTCATTTGTTTGTTTGAGGAATGACACCAAACCATGCCAATCCATTTGGAGTGCCACAAAGAACATTGAAACGTTGCGCTGTTCTGATTGAAGGTGCGGAGAGCATCTTATTTTGTTGATTATGACATCCCATCTGCATTGAGCCAAGTGGGGCAGTGATTCCAGCAGATGGAGCTGTGTCACAATTTTGTGTAGTTCACATTCTGATCTTGAGGAACCTTAATTTGGACGTTTTTTGTAGATTTTTACATCTCTGTTTTAATAGTTTTAAGATCATTTGTGTCTCTTGTGTCATCACATTTTTTCTGTGGCATTTATCAACTGTTGTACATGTTTTTCCAACTGTAGGCTTCTGTTTTTAATGTTGCCTTCATTTGATTTTTGCAAAATCTTTTCTCAGGCAGGATTTGGATCAAGAAGAGAAAGCTCGTTTTGGAGAGCTATGCACTGGCGAGAATGGCAAAGGCAGGGAATGGTTTGCGAAATACGTCAGTGCACAGGTGAAGAGGAAGAATTTCTGAATCTAGAACGACATGGTTTTGATAGACTATACAGTATTTACTACATACCAAGTGACAAAAGTGTGACTTTTTTTCCCCCTCTGTGTAATAATTTATACAGTAATCCCTCGTTTATCGCGCTTAATGGGGACCAAAACCACCCGCGATAAACAAAAATCCGCGAAGTAGCGACCAATAAACATATACAAGTAAAAATAAATTAAAAATCTTTTTTTTTTTTTTAAGTCCCCAAACGGTCCCCAAAAAGATGACGCTTGACACACGTCAAGCCACGCTTCTCCGTCACGTGACCGATTACGCTAAAAACAAAATGCCGGAGCTTTCAAAATGAGTAAAAAAACTGCTGGAGATCGCAAATGACGCCGGCCTTAAAAGTACGTTCGAGACAACTGGATTAAAGTTATGGCTGAATACTCTGAGATGGCCACAATAGCACTGTTGCTATTTCCGACATCCTACCTGTGTGAGGCGGGGGGGTTTCTGCAGCAACGGCGACGAAAACAAAATTACGAAGTAGACTGGACATAAACCACACACTTGAGGTGTCATTGTCTCCTATTACCCCAAGATGGGACCGTCTGGTTGCAGAAAATCAAGCTCGGTGTGTGGTGAGTCGTCATTTTCATGCACTTTGAATTTGCGTTGTATCGTATTTTGAAGGCATTAAACATTACCGTAGCGATCGGAGTGTCGCGGCCAAATTAGACGCTCCTTGTGTTTATTATTATATTTCGAAAACGCCACAGTTTTCATGCAGCTCACACCATATTATTTTGTTGTATTATTTCCGCCCCACCTTAATTGCCGGTCCCTGAAAATATTGTCTGACATAAACTGGTCCGTGGGGCAAAAAAGGTTGGGGGCCCCTGACATAGAGCAACATATACAGTACTGTACTCCATGTATATGGATTTTTTTAAAATTTATTCATTTTTTTATGAATATGTTTGAAAAAATCCGCGATGCACTGAAGCCGCAATAAACGAACCGCGAAATAGCGAGGGATTACTGTATTGTGTGTTCTTGACTGACTAATTGTCCCTCTCGATTGAAAATCATAATACCTGAATACTGTATAGGAAATGCAGAAAATAGATTTCATTTTAAATTCTGTCCTCTCTATTCAGCGCTGCCACTCTAAATGTGTGACCGAAGCTACTTTCTATCGACTGGTGCAGTCATTTGCGGTCGTGCTATTTGAGTAAGTGAGTTTTGGAGATCGTTTGAGTGTCAAAATAAAATGATGGCCATAAGTAGGGATGCACGATGGCTGTTATTTTCCACCAATACAACAATAAATTTTTGCTTCTCCAAACTGAATATTATAAAAGATAGTTTTTTTTGTGTGTGCTGCAAATATATTTGTTGTTGTATCTTAAAAGAATTAAACATTTCAATCCCACTTCCTACTAATATAGCGGGTCCAGAGGATGACAGAAAAAAGTGGCCAATGACAACATAGAGCATGTTTTGCTACTTTCTGAACTCTTGTCCCTGAAATTGTGAGGCGATGAGGGATCTCAAAAGCATTGATTCGTGTTCGTACCCCTTAATAACATCACGTTGGTTTCTTTATCACCCCCACTCGTGCTTCATATCTATTTAATATTAATGCTTCAAAGAATAAATCACTCATAAAATTATTTATTACTTAGCAGTGATATTTCCAAAATAGCACATACACATGCTCACACATATCTTTAAAGACAGGACCCGAAACATTTTAATGCTACTGGCCATTTTCATGTGAAGACGTTTTCAAGGACCCAAATAAAAAAAAAAAAAACAAATGATGAAAAATATCACACATTGTAGCTGCATTTCACTGAGCCACAGCCATTTGTATGCAGTAGGACACAGTCCAGTGTCATAGCCATCCATCCATTTTCAAAACCACGTTTTTGCACCAGTTGTTAGTTGTTGTCTGTGCCTATTGGACAAAATAATCTGGCAATGAAAATTCACTTTGAAGCCGCTGCCCGTGTCGAGATTCAGAGTAAGTAGTCAGGTTTCAATGAGTAATAAAATGCAACAGTCCACAGTCAATGTATTTCAAACGGCTCTTTTTGTCAGTCAATTTTCGTTTTGAATCTGATGTCATTCGTTTTTATCGGTCTGATAGGTTTTCGTGCATCCCTAGCTAGAAGGACTATTTTTAGCATTATAACTGTCAACAAAATAATGAAATGCATGACCGCTGCTGTTGACATCAAGCGCAAGTGTTATGTTTTGGTTCTGAATTTTTTCAGATGTTTTCAAGTGGATGACTACAGCCCAGCCAAAAACCTCATGACTATGTGCTTTACGTACTACTATGTTGGTAAATTCATTTTTCTTGAACACAAAAATTGAAATAGACTTCTACTAATATTTAGACGAATAACATCACATAGAATGGAAGGTCATTTAATTATTTGTAATGTATAACTCGGGAGTTAAGTGACCCGGCAATTGGATGGAATTGCCTTTCTATTGACTTTTTTTTTTTCCTGTCAAGGAAAGTCCCAGCTGTCTCCTGCAGAACTCTTTGATCGAGGTGGTCCTCCAGCTGGTCTGGACTCATATTTAAACAAGGCCAACTCCTGGCTCTCTGATAAGAAGGGCGCTGCTGAGAGACTCCTGAAGAACTCATCAAAGACTGATGTCAAAAGCTTTTTTGGAGGTTTAGAAAGTAAACTGAGAAGCTCAATCACTCCAAAGACAGAGTATGCAAATATGTTCTTTTGGATATTCTCATAAACATAATGTTTGTTTGCCATTAAATGCACCCTGTCCTCTTACATTCAATACAGGGATGGTGAAAATCCAGTAGAGCCAAAATCCAAATCAACAGGTAAGGGGCCTTAAACTTAAATTGTGTGGGTTTTTTTTTCCATGAAAAATTTGTCTTGCACTACTTTCTTTCAAATTAACAACATTTAACACGTTATTTTCCCCTTGTTTCAGAGGCTCCAGAGGAAAAGAAGGGAGAAAAAGTTTACTTGTATACCCATCTGAAGCAGCAACCCATCTGGTATTTGTTTTCTCTCTTTGCACAGTGAAATGGAATTAAAAAAAAAAAGCAAAAAGAAAAATCACTTCAGTTCCCATCTATATCTCGTATTGACAGTGTTCCCTCACTACTTTGCAGTTCAGTTACACGTACTGTATTGTGGCTTCACTCTATCGGGGGATTCAGTTGTGACCATAACTTAATCCATTATAGATTTACCTTTCTCTTTTGTGGGGATTCTTGCTATTTTTCTTTCTTCTAAGTCAGACAGGTTGATATTATGTTATTTTATTTCTTTTTATATGTTTTTTTCTTGAGGAGAAACCAAGACCATGAACATTAGACAACTTGTCGCACCCAAAATCCCCGTTCCGTCATCGTGGCTGCATTTGGAAATATGCTTAGAACACGCTGCTTCCCTCAGACAGTTCAGAAACACAGAACATTGTTCAAAAATGCACCGTTCAGTTATTCAGAGTGCCCCAAAAACGGAGCCCAGTGCAAGCAGAAGGACGATGAAACATCCGCTTAATAATCATGTGAAAAGTTTTCCTTTTTATCCTAAAACTGTTTACCTTTATCAGTGTTGCATAGTAGCCAAAGGTACAATCCAGGTGAATTAATGCGCCTTTTTAATCCTTGTGGGAAGAGAAACCAAGTTGCCATGACAATAGTTCTTGGCTGTCATATGTCCGGGGTAAGGTGCTTCTTCTTCATCTGCTTTAGAAGAAGATGATGAAGAAGCAGAAGCCTATTGCGGGTAATTTTCAGAGCGTAACATCCCACTGTATTTTAAAAGTAAATGCATAAAATAGGTTTCTACGCCCCCCCCCCACACACACACACACACACAAATGATTTTTAAAATGACTGGAATACCTAAAAGGTATGGAAGAAAAGCCAAGTTTTTAACTAGGATTATGGGCAGTTTAGAGTCTTCAATTCACCTCACAAGCAAGTTTTTTTTGGGGGTGGGGGTGGGGGGGATGCGGAGTACCTTGAGAAACATGCAAACGCCACACGATAGGAGATTTGAACCCTGAACCTCTCAACTGTCAGGCAAATCTGCTAACCACAAGCACACTGTTCTGCCAATAGGACGAAATATAAAAATGTATTTAAAAAAAAAACGATTCCTTTCTTTCTCAAAGTGCATTAATTTTTGTGCAAAAGCATAATGAACTTAAATACCATAAGAATTTCTTTAGAAGTAACAAAACCACATTCTAAATCTTTTTTTCATGTGATGTTGTTTGCTCCATGTCAGGCACACGTTGCGATTTTGGAATGCAGCATTCTTTGACGCAGTTCATTGCGAGAGGAAAAAGAGGTCGCCAACAACAAGGTGAGTCCAAATGTCAGAGGAGACTAGATGAACAATTCATTTGATTGTTAACTGTGTTTTCCTCCATTACGTGATATTGAATTGGTTGATAAATTACGAGAAAATGTCCTTTCATATCTGTGCTTCTGTGTGTCTGGGAAAAGTTTGCTCCTCTTTCTTCAATTCGCCGTCTTCCTGCATGTCAACTTAACCCTTTTCTTCTTGTGCCTTGCTGCCTAGCAGGGGAACGCAAGATGGGGATAAAGATAAGAGGTCGGTCTTCCATTTGTCTGCTGCCCTCAAAAAGGCCCAAAACAAACAAAAAAAAAAGAACAGCAAGACTTGAAATTTTGCAGGAAAATCTGATGTAATTGTGGCTGTCCTTTATTCGCATGGCTTCATGTGATTTATGAGGTTCTTTGTAATGGAATGTTTTTTGGTTATGTCACATGTTGGTTTGTGATTTTTTAGTTCGCTACATTTGAGGTCTGGGGTCCTATTTTCGTGCCCAACGCAAGTGTAGTGGAATCTAACTGTGTGTAAGGGTGGAGTTTTCTTTCTTTTGGTGGTTTTGTAGACGGGCACAGTTAAACATGGGCGTTTGCGCCATTGTGGGAGTGAATACAGCCGACGTGATTCCCAGCCAATCGAAATGGCTCCTTTCATTCTCTTTAAATTCAGTGCAGGTGAGGTTCACGGTCAGCATTGGTGAAAGCATACTCACTCGCTGGAGTGCATGCGCACAAAGTATGTTTATAAATATTCTCCATCATCTCCGCATTCAGATGATGAAAAGTTGGCCGCTGTAAAGCGAGCACTTGGAGACCGCATTCTGCCCCCAATCGTGTGATTGTGAGTTAAGACATGAAATAATGGGTTTCACAACAGGTTGCAAGGCAAAATTGGCGTTTTACGGCACATCAAAACATATTTGAGTAGCACGGTGCTACTTATGCCACACCAGCTAGCTACAAGTCTTGACTTATTGCCATTTTTCAAATGAATTTCAAGGATTCTCTTTTTCTTTGTTTTTTGCTTTTTTTAGATTTGGTCTGTATATAAGTACATTTACTCCAAAACTGCGTGTTTTAGTATTTTTTATGTGATTTACAGTCAAACTTCTCTACAACGAAACCTACATGGGCGAAAATACCCCCTAATGTGAAAAAATCTTCATGCATTAACACCATTCCCACTCTCCTGCCCCCCATACAACGAAAAACTCCCTGTTGCGTTATACGAAATCTTTTTCTCTGCTCTTGCCTCGCGAAGAGATTCACTACAACGAAGTCTAATCCAACAGCGACCTCTACTGCTTCGTTCGGAAACGGCTACAGCAACCACCACACTGGTTTACACAGCTCCGAGTTTCCTGAACGCAACATACTCATGGCTGCTCTGCAATTGGCTTACCGAGCATCATCCTGGCCTCCGATTGGCCAAGAGGGACCTCACTATCTCTGTGTGTAGATACTGTAGCTAGATCCGTGGAAGATAGAGTGGAATGCATCCGATTAGCTGCTCAGAGTAAATTGCTTGTGGCTCGACGGACAGTCAAATAAATGAACGTTTCTCGGAATGCTTTACTTGTTATCATGCTAAAAACCTTACGCTAACTGGAGCGCTAATTAGAGAGAAGGTGAGTTCCATCGCGCTAACTATGGCCATCGAGGACTACGAAGCGTCCCGCAGCTGGCTTTAAAAGTTCATTGCATGACATCAGCTGAGCAACGCTGTCTTGGGTGGCGATCGAGGGGAGGTCGAGTTAGAGACAGTGAGATGGTGGAAAGAAAAGCCACCGGGTCCAGGAAGTATTTGTTATTAGATTCAGACGAGCATGGACGTTGCATTGCTAAAATGGCTACAAAACGGACCTTTGGATGTCAAGCAGCTAAGACAAGAAGCGTTCTGACGCTGGAAGAGAGGGTAAAAGTGATCAAAATGAAAGACGGAGGAAGCAAAATAAAATACATTATCTAAGAAATTGACGTAAGTGAAAGTGAATGCTGATCATAAATTTCGCAATTTCTTTCCCTTTTTTTTCTTTCTACACTGACTATATGAAGTGTCAAATAAGGGTGTGCTCATGCTTATGCACTATTGGAATAAAAATAGAGTACACATACGTTTGTGTGTGTGTGTGTGTGTGCGTGTGTGGGTGTGTGTGCGCGTGTGTGTTTACATCTGAGATCAAATTTGCTACAGTGAAAAACCCCCTGTTGTGAAAAATTTCTTGCTCCAAACATGATTTCGTTGTAGAGGAGTTTCACTGTATTTAAAATATGATGGGTGGGCGGAAATTCTAGATTCTCGAATGGCCCTCTTTACGTGTTGCCATTTCATCTGCTATTCATTTACACCAATTTGGAGGAATTTTCAACAAAAAACTGCTCATCTCAACCATGTGCAGGCATGGTGTATCATCAACATGAGAACTGAAGAAGCAAAACACATTTTAAGTCGGCGACAAAACATTTGGCCATAAGTGTAATCATTAAATGGTATTTAAAAGGTAAACGGAATTTAAATCGCCCCGATGCAAAACTATGGATGAAGGCTACTGATTATGAGTATTTCATCACTGCAAGTTATTGTAGGAGCTGATTTTATATCCCTTCATAGTGTCAGAGTAGAAAAGAGACTATTCTCATTAGGGAATAGAAAACATGATGCTAAAACTGCTGGTGCTCAAAGGAATGCATCAGGGCGAATTTTAAAAAAAGCATTCATCCTTATTGTAATGCATACTAACATTTTCATTTCATTTTGCCTTTTTTTCCCCCTCTATAAAATATTTTTTGTTTGGAATTTTTACTCATTTTTACTCATCCTACTATCTATTCTTCTGTCTTTATTTGGCATCAGCTTGGCATGTCATTGTGGTTCAGTCGTCTAATAGTCTGTGTGATTTATAAAGCATGTCAATACGATGCTGTAGAAAGAACCTCTTGCTTCCTGTTCGTTTTTCAAGTGGCGCTTCCATAACTAGCAATTAATGTCATGAATGTGCTGCTGAGACATTGTCTGGAAATACATTTGCTGTATTTCTGGAACAAACAGATCCACTGCTCGCTGTTCATATCCACGTCACGCCTCACTGCATCATTTTCTCCTTTCCTGTATGCTCTCGTTTTTTGTTTTTTGGAAACATTCTGCTGCTATTTTGCCATTTTACAGCAACATATTTCGCAAAAAAAAAAAACCAGCACAAGCACCCAAAATGTTTAAATATATCTTATTGTGTGTGTTTATTTCACCTTTTCCTGCACCCTGTAACATGATTATGATAAGCTGTCCAATGTAGTAACTGTTGTCCCTGAAAGGGTTCATGTTCTGAAATGCTGACGTGGACATACTCGATTTTTCCACCTGTGGTATCAACAGCAAGGACATACTGTGTTGGTGTTTGATCCAGGACTGGGCCAGTACGTTTCCTGGTTGACTTGTAATTGCTCTTTAAACAGTCCTCTTCCTCATGCTGTTCGCATTGTGACATCACAAGACCACAACAACACCTAGCTGTTGATGAATAGTACCTTGCCATTGCGACACTTCTCAAACTGGATGGGTTTTTTTGCCCGACCCTCCCTGTTTAATTAACCAGATGAAAAAACAAAAACATTGGACTGTTGGTTTTGATACAAGTACACACAAAAGTAAGATGGGAACATTCCGACAATGGAATTCGAAACAAAAGTAAACCAGTGTGAGAGTCTGTGGACATACTGTACAGAAATGGATACTTAGCAACCGCATAAAGCGTGCAATGATGAAAACAATTTCCACAACCAGTAACAAAACCAGAGCACAATTGCACACACTCTCCAGTTTCTTCAGGTGTTGTGCTGGTGCAGTCATTAAAAAAAAAATCAGATCACCGTAATCTTTCTGTTCTCAGAAGGGAAGCGGCCACTGAGTTTAGGGTTTCAATGTCCGGTTGAAACAGATACACTGAAAAATTCACAGAAAGGACTTTATTCATCAAAAAAATCATTTTGCCATTCGGCCCCTTGTTCGAGCAGTGCCAAAAATGTACTGAAACATTGCGGACTTTGTTGAGAAAGTCAAAGGAAAGTCAGGTGTAAAGGTGAGAGTACATCATGGTGCAGCCCAATAACGTTTTGTGAGTAGTGTATGTGTTAACGTAATCATATCTCTCAATAATCCATCAGGATTTTTTTGGGTGGTTTATATCCCATACCACCCAAGCAAGTCTTTATGTAATCAGGAGGTACTTACTTTACTGAATGACTCGCTAGTAGTAGCAGTGTAGTGGAAAATGTAGCCACTGGACGGACCGTAACTAAATTTCAACCTGCACACATTAATCAGACTCATTTCACAGGAAGTCTGCATTTTATTATCAGTCATATTGTTAAATGATTACCGGTACGTTCATGAAAACACACCCACCCGTGAACAGTGTTGATGTGTGTTGAAGCCGCTTAAATCATTATTTTCGTCATTCCTGATAGCTGATGAACTTGGCCTGTCCATGTATTATATATAAGGTAACCGCTTCAAAGTGAAAACTAGCTGATCTTCTTTTTAAGCTCGATATAACCGATAATTTGGAAGCTGAATAAGAACTTTTTTTTTTTGCGAATTTAAGGCAAACTTTTTCTGTCAACAGGGAGAAGTGGTGTCACATGACCCAGGAGGAAAGAGACGACACCTCCAAAATGGACGAGAACATTGCCTTTGGCCAACTGGGGTGAGGAAGCTGCCGACATGGAAAGTTTTGTGAGACATCGTTGCAAATCTTATTTGTGTGGCCCTGACCAGAAATGATACTGTCACCTTAAAATGTCAGTAAAAAAAAGGCCTCTGCTAATTTTGTGTTTTGATCACAAAGGTGCATGGGTTTGAGTCCTGCCAAGTCAAACCTCGGTTTTCGTCCATAATCCGTTCCAGAAGGCTGTTCGAAAACCGAAATTGTTCGAAAACCGAAACCACGCTCTTTTTAAAATAAAAATGTTTACTGAACACGTCTGCTCACAATGGAAAGCAACACAAGGAAGCGTCACTTCCTCGTCTACCCGAGGAAGCGTCACTTCCTCGTGTAAGAAAGGCGAGAGGAGTCAAATGGTGCATTCAAGTGCACTCAGTTTGTTCGAGAACCGAAATTTGTTCATTATCCGAGGCATAAAAACCTCGAAATTTTTGGTCGAAAACCGAATTGGTCGAGAACCGAGACGTTCGAAAACCGAGGTTTGACTGTATATATATAATGACATTGTCAAAACCTGCTAAACTAACTTAAGCTCCTCAAATCAGAGTTTTAGTCCCTGAGGTGTCCCTTGATCTCAAGAAATGAAGAAACCAGGGCGGTTATTTAAAAAAAAAAAAAAAAAAACCACTTGTATTGAGCACCAGTGAATCACCACCACCAACCACCGCGTGCCAACAATAACAATTAAGCCTGCAAGGTCTGTTTTCCTTCAAACTGCATATAGTTTCAAAATGAGAACCAACATGGCCCAGAAGTGCAAACACAACAGCAAATAACAACAAATGAAAAAACACAACAACAAATAACCAAACACAAAAACAGCAACAAATAACCCTGCCAAAAAAACAAAAACATCATCAATAACCGAACTCCACGGCAAATTAAAAACACAATAAAACTGAGCACAACAGTAAAATAAAAAAAGCACAACAAAAAATAACAAACAATGATTGCAGTTAAAAAAAAAAAAACTAAAATAAAAATGATGAACCACAACAGCAATTCAAGAAACAACAACGAAAAACTCAAGCATAACATCATATAAAAAGCACAAACTAACAAATAACGAAACACAATGACATTGTTGGGATTAGTTAATTTTTATTCCACCTCTGTTTGGCACACAGTGGATGATAGTTTTACCTTCTGAATCTCGAAATTGTTGGGTGTCGTCCTCAAGAGGAGTCCCGTTGTTTAATGAGATGCAAATAAACTGCCAACACTGGACCCCAAAAAAACTGCAAGCTACGGTTGTGCCATGTTCTTGTGTCATGTTTGCTTGGTTTCACCAATGTTGAGGTCGTTGCACTCCTCACTGCGGTCCTCGAGAGCCCCCATCCACACCTGATTCAAACGATCAGCTCATCAGCGAGCTTTGCAGAAGGTTGATAATGATCCAGAGCTACACCTAAAAATGATCATTTATGCTCTTATGTTTGCTTTTATGGATGTGTTTTTCAGGACATTTACTCACAACATGCTGGCATTTGGGCTCAGTAAAAAACTGTGCAACGATTTTCTGAAAAAGCAGGCTGTCATCGGAAACCTGAATAAAGGTAAGACATTCTAGAATATGCAGTATGTATAAGCCATCGGTGTTATTTTAAGTGTGCCACCGACACTTTGCAAGCTATCAAGTTCTCGGGCATCTTACTTTAAAATGTCCTACAAGGAAAACCCTCGACAACGAAACCTACATGGGCGAAAATGCCCCCTAGTGTGAAAAAATTTTCATGCATGAAAGCCATTCCCACTTTTCTGCCTCCCCTACAACGAAAAGTCCCCCCATTCCGATATACGAAATCTTTTTCTCTGCTCTTGCCTCGCAACGAGATTCACTACAATGAAAACAAACCTTCCGCAAAAGTCTAATCCAACCACAGCATGCCACAGCGACCTCTACTGCTTCGTTCGGAAACGGCAACAGCAACCATCACTCTGGTTTACACATGCGCAGTAGTACAGGAAGTATTTGTTTCAGACGCAGCATGAAAGTTGCATTGCTAAAATGGCTTTTGCATACCAAGGAGTTAAGAAAAGAAAAACTTTAACGCTTTAAGACAGGATAAAGGTAATAAAAATGAAAGATGGAGGAAGCAAAATAAAAGACATGATGCAATAAATTGATGTAAGTGAAAGTAAATGCTGATCGTAAATTTCGCAACTTCTTTCCCTTTTTTCCCTTTCTACGCTGGCTATATGAAGTGTCAAACAAGTGTATGCTCACACTTATGCACTACTGGAATAAAATAAAAAGTACACATATACGTTTTTTGTGTGTGTTCGTGTTTACGTCTGAGATAAAATTTGCTACAGTGAAAAGTCCCCTGTTGTGAAAAATTTCTTGCTGCAAACATGATTTCAATGTAGAGAAGTTTCACTGTATGTTGATTTTTTTTTTCCCCCAAGAATACCAAAGTGACGCCATTTAAATCTTTTCAGAACAGTACAAGTTGCTAAGTGACCATATTGAGAAAATGGCTACAGAGTGAGGGTCCGGACGACATGCTGAATTTCAAAGCCTCCAGTCTTCGCGTCGCATGAGCCTCGCCTAATCAATGTCAAGTGGAATGGCAAAACACATGACTGTATCATAGCTGTAGCAAAGCCTATCCGTCCAATTTGGGTGTGCTCTTCTAAGCACATCCTCCATCAGCAATAATACATCATCATCAGCTGTTGCCGCGTCAATTTTGGCAGCAAAGCAACTATTTGTCTAACCTGTAAGTTCTATCTGCCTCTGTGTTGCAACTGTACCGCTCTCCATATGTGTAGTATATAGTGCAATAACTTCTTGTCACTGGCTTCATCTGCTACTAACAATGACTGAGTATCTTTTTCCTCTCATGAGAGCGCATTATACTGTACTTCATCGGAAACTGCTTTGACAAAAAAAAAAAAAAAAAAAAAAAAAAAAGGAGTAGATCCAAGTGTCTGAGTAGCATTTACAATAGCGCAAAGATTGTTCCGGAAAAACATGCCTTTCACTCCATCTCTGTCTCTTAAAATAGCATTTCGCTGATCGTTGATGACTGAAAAGGACATCAAAGTTGCCTGGGGCTCAGGTCATGGCCAATCACAGATCACCTGTTTTCTGGCTTTGGTCATGTGATGTCCGCAAGCTGTGCCGTGAGCCCTGAGCAACTGGGTTGTCATTTTGTCATTTTCAGTCAACAGCAAGTACTAAAATGGCTGCCCCCTGAAACGGATTAAAATGGGTGGCTTTTGCTCTTTAATTCATATTCCACAAACACAATATTAACCCTTTCATGCACCAACAATGATAACCTGTAACCTGATAACCTGTTAAGCCGTCCACTGTAGTCACCGCTGTCCCTGAAAGCTTTAATCAGAAGGCCCTGTTGAGACTTGCTTTGAACATATCACTCTCAAGACAGTATTAGCCTTCCCTTTTTATTAAATTAGATACGGTATATGGATCCATTGCCATGAGACTGTCACCTATCTTATTGCATAAAGACTCTTCAAATCCATCGTCCAGTTTGTTACATAATCTCCGACTGCATGTGTGCCACATCAGTGAGATCTGAGCATTACAACAATTGGCTTTCAGTTACGAGCTGAAACTCCACTGTCATTGTAGATGATCGTTATGTTGAAGGAGTTTTAGGGTTGCGCCTATATTTGTTTTCAACAAATATTTAATTGTATTACTTCATAAATATACAGGTCATGAGAGGAACTGTCACGAGCGAATATGTTTAGAATTGATTATTCTAGTGATTATTCCATCAATTAATCGAATGAAATTTTATTTTGCATGAAAGTGTATTGCAAAACCAAGTAGTGATTGATAATAAATTGTTTTTTTAAAAAATATTGTTTAGTGATTGTAAAAAAACAACAAAGAACACTTAAATATCAGACTAGAAGGATTGATATACTCGCCAGCCTTTTTGCAAATGTCTTTATTTTGATTAAACCGCACAGCTGATTGGTCTGCTTTATTGAAGGGCTACAGAAATCTGTGAATATTTACTATTGAGAGGCTGAAATCTGAAGATTTGGACAGTTTTAAGTGAAAGAATAGCCCAAAACGATAACTTGATTATCAAAATAGTTGTCAGTTGATTTGATGATTGATTAGTTGTCGATTAAACATGAATTTTGACGGCCATAGTCTTGAGAGAAAGATCAGGGCTGCCGGTGTCACTGTAGGTTTGTGATGATGCTGTGTCTTCGCATGACTATATTCTTGTAAGATGACATTTTTCCTGAAAATGTTTTTGAAAGTCTTTATGCTAAATAAAACCAACAGTCTCAGAAAAGAGTGATTTAAAATAAATGATGTCGTCTAATTCTGCAATTCTATCAGCAAAAATGATCACTTAAAAGATTTTCGTGAACATAAATACCCTCATCTATTTAATTGAATATTTCTTACCTTAAATTGGACAAACAAGTCTCGCTCAGGATTGGTTTAGGAAGAGCAACTGATAGCATAATTCTTCACTGCAAGCGCAATTTGTGCTTTTAAATGCTTGTTTCATTTGAGTGTTGCAAATCATTTAATGCAGTTAAAATGAAGTCATTCAGCAGATTAGCAAGTCCTACAGTACGTTCTGTGAAGTATTTCTCTATATTTGTACATGTATAAACAATAAATGTACTGGTGATCCATTAATGTTGATGAACCTGTCGTGTACTGAAAACAACCCAAATCTGTTATACATCCTCATTTCAAACGATTGTGTATTCATGAATAAACCTGTCTTTACGAGATGTTGCACATCCCCTTCAGAATATCCGTCAGCTTATTTGCCAAATTGCACTATTTTGTATGATTTTTCAACTGTCACTTGCTGTGCTCCAATGTTGGCCACTTTAAGGCTCGAATATCGGTTAGGTAACGTGTTGTTTATTTGTGTTTGTTTTTTGTTTTTTCCTGGTGTGAGGTTGACCTCACCATGTGGCAGCTTTAGGATTTTTTTTTAACAACACCTATTTTGCTGTTGTACACAAAATGCATGTTGATATCTTGTTTGAAACATTTATCTGTATACCGTAGTCTATCTGTACAGAAAATGATACTCTGCCTTTACTTTTGATACCTGCTTCAGGTATCCAGCCAGTTCCCCCTGGATAATAATGCCTTTGTTCGACTCATAGCAGTGCACCGACATTCCTCACTCGTGGATTGTGAATAAAGGAAGCATGTGCAGGGGTGATTATAATGTGGCGCCACTTGTCGCACCACTTAATATTTTGCGGTCAGAGAAATAATTAAGATATCAAAGCAAGTACGCTTATATTTCAAATAGTAGAAATTCATGAACTGGGCACTCATAGCAAAGAACGCAAGGTTAATATTTCAATTGACTGACAGTTGCAGCTCTCAGAAATATGTGAATATTGTTTGCTGAATGTTTATTTTAAATGCATGGACAAGTCAATGTTAAATCAAGATGCTGTAATAAATGTATTTTTCTGGCGAAGTTTTGTGTTTTTTCTAGGATATCCATTCAAGTCCATGAAAAAAAATACAATACGTACACCAAGATGAAATACAAATGCAACACTTGGCTGACCATAGATAGCCAGGACATTTACTACATAGAGAAAAGTTCCACTTGTCTCAAATATTGCTCACTAATTTGTTGAATCTATGTAAGTGAGCCCTTCGCCTTTGCTGGGATAATCTACCCACCTCACAGGTGTGGTATACAGTATGATTAGATAGGAGGATTATTGCGCTGCTGTGCCTTAAACTGCAACTTCAAAAGGACACTAAAATGTGCAGTTTTATTGCACAATACAATGCCACAGATGTCCAAATTAGTGTAAGTAGAGGGGTTCGTTGTTTTTCAGTGGATGGCTCTTCTTTACGAATGACAGATGGAGAGATGGAATCCTTTAACGCAGTTTATTAAAAAGGAGAACGAAAAAAAAAACGTCTGCACCTCCGAACGGATGAACGAGAACACACCCCCCTTTCAGTCACGAAAACACTTCCTGCTTCTCAGACGCAAGCAACATAAAAATGTTTCAACAATTATTAAACAGAATATAATTTAGATAACTATAACATAAAAGATTATAATGCTCAAATATAAAATGAAAATAATTGATAATTTAACATAAGCTTACATTAGTTTGCAGTTACTGAATATATATGTACATCCTGTACATATTGCTGGCGTCAGGCCAAAACCTCCGATGTCACAATTTGGTAAATGTCATTTTTCTTCACTTTATACTAATATATACTGTCGAGAGAGAGAGAGAGAGAGAGAGAGGGAGAGAGAGAGAGAGAGAGAGAGAGAGAGATAGAGATAGAGATACACACACATACTATATCAGTCCACACGTTTGGCTGTTATTTTTACAAATTATTGACCAGTCTTAAGTGTAGCCGAGAATATAAACGAAATTACAAGAGTCCAATTAAACGAAATAAAATAAGAGGAAGATGACAGACAAAGTAATTTCAATCCAAACGAGAAACTAGAGAGCAAAAACGACTGACGAGAGACGAGGAGTCTAAATCAAGGTTGATGAACTCTGTTTTTTGATTTCTTAGAATTCGAAAAATATGTTGTAGGCAGTAAATAAGAAAATGTTCTTCAACTGGTCATTTACAATCGCGATGAGCTATTTTTTATGACGTCTTCCAGGCCCTCCCCAAATGATGCAACATGATTTACGTAACCAATCATGCCTGTGTGCTGCTCGTTGTACAGTACTTACCAACGAGCAGCACACAGCACTCACTCTTTGAGTTTCCACGTGAACAGCACTTTCCGGGAATGTTATAGTTCCCCAGCCTTTACTGTAAACCTTTGGTTGCTAAGAGAACTGAAAATCACTCAAAAATCAGTTTCCTCGATCACCTGAGGCTTCTTTAATACAGCACTTATAATTATCACACGAATTGGCATTGCGGTTCAAAAACTGATTTAAAAATTCCGTTTAAATAAATAGACGATCTTTTTTTTTTTCAAGTAGGATATGCGCATGCTCAGTACAAGTGAGTTTCTGAGACTCCACGTCGGAACGCGAGCAAGATTTGACCAATCAGGAGCGGCCACACTGTTTGTTTGGAAACAACATTTTGTCTCGGCGCAGTTTCGACAGCATATTATGAACAGCGCCTTTGTAACAGGCTAGCTGTTTCGATCTTGACGTAAAAAATATCTCCTTGGTTCATTTTTGATGACCGTAAAACTGATTTTTTGCACATACTGTGCTGCGAGATAGAGTTATCACCGAAACGTGACACCAAACGCGAGAAGTGAAAAAATGGACATGGAGGGCTCTCGGCCGAAGACCATCGCGATTCTCATCAAAACACCCACCCAGGCCGTGGAGGACCAAACAATCGAAGGAGTCCATCTGAACTGGACGGTGAAAGACCTCAAGACACATCTGTCGGCAGTCTATCCAACTAAACTGGTGAGTGTTTTGAGGCGTTGGCTAATGTTAGCGGAACCAGCTAGCCAAGTGTTGGAATGTCAAGACGAGCCTGCCTGGTTGGCTCGGTCACGTGACGAACGCTGCTGAACAACTGTTTCGTTTATTGCAGCTTTTCCATAAAGTTCCAGCTCGTATACTTGAATGACTTCCATAATAAGGGCCGTTGTTCATTGCTACAAAATAAACAAGACGCAATGTGTATTCCTATAAACACAACCCTGTTTTATAGACTTGTCACGTTTTTTGTTCAACTGCAAAATAAATTGAATGTGTACGTCTAACCAAATAATGGAATATGTGCAGTGTCTTGCATCATAATTTATGCACCGAGCAGCAACATTCTGACCTTCAATACCCCTCGTTTACCACATTAAAACCGAGCGTTATCTTTGACGGCAGATTTTTTTTTTAATTCAAAGCTTTCAAATATATATTGGAGAGAGAAATCAGAATCTAAAAGTCATTCAAACGTACGTACAACCCAATTCCAATGAGCTTGTGTTCATTTTAAATGAAAACAGAATACAATGATTTTCAAATCATGTTGAAACCATTTTTAATTAAGCACGCCACAAAGACAAGATATTTAACGTTCAAACCATTACACTGAATTGTTTTTAGAAAATCATCATTCATTTAGAATTTTATAGCTACAACACGTTTCAAAAAAGCTGAGACAGATGGCAAAAAAGAATGAGAAAGTTGAAAATCCTCAAACCATTTAAGGACAATGTTCCTTAATTGAAGGAATTTAGGGATTTCATAATTTCCAGTCTATAGTATCATCAAAATGTTCAGAGAATCTGGAGAAATCACTGCAAGTAAGTGGGAAAGCCGAAAAACAACAGTAAATGCCCATTAAATTGGATTCGTCACGTGGCACTGCACCACAACCGACATTAAGGTGTAAAGGATGTGACCACATGGGCCCAGGAACACTTCTGAAAACCAGTGTCAGTAAATCCAGTTCAGTGCTACATCCATTAGTAGAGGTAAGATCGGGCCGCCCGAGCCGACCCGAAATTCGGGTCGGGTTGGGCCTTAAAATGTCAATCATTGCCTCGGGTTCGGGTCGGGTCGGGCTTCTCTCTCGCTGACTTTTTTTTTTTTTTCCGAGGCCGTCAATAGTTTTGGCCACGAGAGACCGTTGTTCACACAGCAACAGAAGTCGCCTCATCACATCACGTAGTGTACTAAACTCTTGCAATGACAATTCAAAGAACTCCTTCCTGTCTCTGTCTATGATCCACCCATTATTATTCTTTTTTGTCTCTCTGCCTCTCTCTCTTATTACTTAAGGACGTACTGCTGCAGTGATTTACGGCCCATTTTTCAACCCGTCAAAATGACGGACGGCCTTAAATTTTCCCCGTCCACTCTTAAAAAAAATCCGTCAAATGATAGAAAATTGTCGGTTAATGTAACCTCTTCAGAAACAGAAATATAAAAGATGTAAATGTTTATACAGTCTTGTTTAACTTAGATTTCGTTACAAAAGGCAGGCTTTGTTATCAGAAATCACCCCTCCTCCTCCCGAGTCCTCACAAATAAAATATGAAATGTCGGGTTTGCTTCGGGCTCGGGCCTGCAAATCAAGCTAAGTGATCGGGCTCGGGCCGGGTCGGGCTTAAATACCCTCGGGCCGGTTCGGGTCGGGCACGATTTTTTCGGAACGATCTTATCTCTATCCATTAGTATAACTTAAGACTGTACTTAGCAAAGCAAACACCACTCATCAACCACACCCTGAAAACCATGACCCTGTCCCAGCTATTCTTGGAATATGTTGCAGCGATAAAATTCTAAGTTCCTCATTATTTGCTCAAAAAAAACAATCAAGTTTATCAGTTTGGACATAAAATATCTCGCCTTTGTAGTGTATTCAATTGAATATAGATTACAAATCATTGTATCCTGTTTTTATTTATGTTTAACACACCGTCTTAACTTCATTAGAATTGGCTTTATAAAAGGACATATGCAAATTTCTCCATTGTGGGACAAATAAAGGTTTTCTTATCTTTCTTATCTTATAAAGTCATTGCATCATACTCCCTCGAACTGACCACTGAGTTGAACAGAATCAATTCATACCACTTTCAAATCAAACTGTCTTTAAATTGCTTTGCACCCCATGTATGGAAAACCGTATCAAATCATCTTTTGTGAAGACGCACACCCCTGAAAGCTTGTATTGGATTTCATTAGACTTTGCAAGTGGTCCAGTGCTGTGGCTGGTGAGTGTATAGGGTTTAATCTGCTATGAAGTCTAGTTAATGCTCTGGACCGGCAGCAATAACATTATCATTCTTCTTTTTATTTGTTTGTTTGTTTGTTTGTTTGTTTGTTTGTTTGTTTTAAACGAGTCATGTCTCTTTACTTTACTTTACCTTACTTACTTACTTTACCACAACAAAACTGACTGTTGCAAGATGCAAGTCACTCCCTTTTAACTTTTCATATTCAACATTTAGATCCAAGAATAGTGCAAAAAGAGGACGCTTAAGATTGAAATTACAACATACTCAAAGAGTTGGAGTGATGTTGCTCTCAAGGATGTGGTCTTGGATTTGCTCCATATGGAAAGTGCCTGGAGATTAGTGCTATATAAACAAAATGGATGGAAGGAAGAAACACAATCACATTTTAATGTGCGGGGGGAATTGTGTGATTTCCGATTGTTTCGAACTTCTACTTAGGTAGTTGTACTATAAAATCTAAACCGACTGTGTCATTGTTTTCTTTGTATTTGTTCTCATCAGGCTGAGAGCGACCAGAGGCTCATCTATGCTGGCAAACTTCTACCTGACCATCTTCACATTAGAGACCTCTTCAAACAGGTATATATATATGTCTGAGTTAGTATTTGTCTGTCTGCCCATGCTGCTTCAAGGTATAGTTCACCAATGTGGGAAGTACACAACACAAGGGGAACTATGGAAAATTCAGTTAGCGATATCATACAGAATTTACTTACAAGTGGATCATTTAGGGTTGAGCGATATGGCTGAAAATATATCACGCTATATGCAGGGTTCTAAATTAACACCCGCCAACCTGACAATTGCGGGTTAAAATTCATTTTGGCGGGTGCTGATAAATTGAATTGAATACAACTTTATTGTCAAATGTGCTGTATGAATTTCTTCCCTCTCAACATAAAACAAGACTTATCAGCCAGTTTGATTGTTGATGACAAACTCATTTTTGTCACGGGCCATAATGTAGTTAGTTTCCCTCAGAGGACTATTATGAATGTGAAACCCTATCCTTGTTTAATCACCCCCTTGTAATATTATGTATAAAGTATGGAATTTACGTATAACTAGTTTTAATCTCAAAATTCAGGAATAGTAGTTTGTTCAACCGTTTGTTCAAAAGCTTCTGTTATAACATAAGAAAATGCTTGCAAAATCGTAACATTATTTTTTATTACATATAGCAATTTGACATTTTTGGTACATATTTTAGCAAGCATCATGGAAGTTGACCTTGATTTTCTTTCTCAGGCTACATGAAATGATGTGGTGGGCCAGATCTGTCCCCCGGGCCTTGAGTTTTATACGTGTTAGGCAATTGTGTCAATCAGATATACTTTGAGTTTGGTCTCAAATCTCAAGAATTGATTGGAACCAGGACTATTCTCCCAGAATCGTTCGCATTTCAAATATATTTCACATTTCAAAATCCCCGTTAGGTGCCTCGTCCACTGACCAGAGGTAGCACTTGCTGAGACCAACGAAAAGTGCGCGCGCACGCATGTCGCACAGATGCATCCGGTACCAAACATAAGCATGGCTTAACTTTGTTAAACTGAATAAATAGTCGCCTCAGTGCAACACGTAAAATAAGTTAATATTGTGCAAAGGCGGTTGTATGTATAAGTTAATGGAGTGGCGTTCCTCCCGCTCCAAGCCTTTAACATACACCACGCTGAACTTCAGTGTCATAATCGAGTGAGTTCAACAATAAAGTACGTCTATAGCCAACAGTGACGCTCTCGAACGAGGAGCTCCATGGCAAAATTCACTGCAGGCGTTTGATTGTTGAATCGATCAATAAATGTCCTGGTTCAATTCGAGCTGGTGTTTACACAGTCGTCTTCATCATGCTGTTCACATTTTGACATCATGAGACCAAGACGACGCTAACAATGGAGCAACAGTACCTTACCATTGTGATGCCTCAAACAGGACATTCTCAGACAGAAGTGGCCACTGAGCTCAGAGTGTCACGGAGTGTCATCAGCAGATTGTAACGGATATACAGAGAGACTTGAAGAGTCACAGAAAGATGTAAAAGTGGACGTCCTTTGGCCACATCCCATGCGGATGACAGCTACATTCTGAAAAATGCCTTGAGAGCCGAATGTTGAGTGCCACTCAACTCCAGGCACATTTAAGGGAGGTGAAAGGCTCCCGAGTGTCACATCGGACCATTCGAAAGCGTTTACATCAACGTGGTCTGAGTGCTGCAAGGGTACCTGACCACACCACCTGGCATAGGCGTCATCATCTTGCATGGGCCATGGAGCATTTACGCTGGACCATTATGTGGGCCGGTGTTCTCTGATGAAGGTCGATTCAAGTTGAGCAGAAATGATGGTCGCTAATGATGTTGAAGAGGTCAAGGAGAGTGCTTGGTATCAGTCACTGTTCTCACCAGATGAGCTTTTGGTGGTGGCTGTGTCACAATGGGGGCAGGTGTGTCCAGTCGGTACAGAAATGCCCCACGCCTTGTGAATGGCACAGTGGCCAGCCCGTACTACCTGAATAACATTATTAATCCTGTGATTGTGCCACGACATGAACAACACGGGCCTCATTTCATTTTAATGGAGGTCACATAATCAGGGAACAGCTGTTGGAGACTGGTGTACCTCAAATGAAATGGCCTGCACTTTCTCCAGACCTGAATCCTATTGAAAACCTGTAAGATCAGCGGAGTCACCGTGCAAACCAGGGGTGTCAAACCCATTTTTGTCACGGGCCACATTGTAGTTACGGTTTCCCTTGGAGGGCCATTATGACGGTGAATTTTGCGAAACCATATAAATGTTTAATCACCTCCACATATAACATACACAGTGCACAACAAATTGATGGATAACTAGTTTTAAAATCAGAAGTCAAGAATAATGACTTGTTTCAACATTGTTTAAATGAATGTAACAAGGGGGTTGGTAATGAGAAAATGTTTGCAATATCATATGTTATTATGGAGTACATATGACAAATTGAAATTTTGGTTCCGACTTTAAGCATCATGGACCTTGTTATGCTTGATTTGCTTTCGTGGGCCACATAAAATGATGTGGCGGGCCAGATCTGGCCCCGGGCCTTTACTTTGACACCTGTGGTGTAGAGGCTTGAAACTTTGCACCGCAGAACCTCAATGACCCGAAGGTTGCCTTTCAAGAAGAGTGGGATGCCATGCTTCAGCAGACAATAAGTCGACTTGTGAATAGCATGAGACGTCTTTGAGAAGCTGTCATCGATGCTCTAAGGCACATGACGAGTAATTGAGACGTTGACATTTTTTGTTCTGGTGTACCCACCATTGTTGTTGACTTTTGTTTTTAATGAATTGTTTGAATGAGGAAATGTAATCAAGGCATCCTTCTTCTCAAATGTCCTCCTTTCATGATATGACATCACTGTAGCGGGAACTTTTTAAATTTTCCATAAATTTCAGCTGAAAGCCAAATACAAAAAAATGAATCGCTTTTTGTGAGTAGTGTAGAATGACTGAGGTGTGCTGGCATTCTTACTCTTTGGGGTATTTTGATGAAAGCATGTCAGATGTTAAGACACCAACAAACTTTTTTAAATTGCAGGATAAAATATGTGTACATTGTGTCGCCTTAAAACACGAATAGCGTTACCCTGCTTTTTCCATTGCACTTGAGCTAAATGAACTGTGTGTGTCTATCAATTTACTGCTCATGCTGACTGTAAGAATGGAACACATTGCACATACATACGTAAGAAGTAGAAAGGTTTTCATATCATTTGCTTTTCATCGTCATTGTGGTCCATGAAGCCAGCATCAAAGGTGAGATATGATGCAGTTCGATGAATCCCTCTCTGACAAAACAAAACAAAACAAAAACTAAGTGGGAAGATATCTGAGATGTTTGCTTTTGTTCAGGTACCGCATTGTTTTGTGTAATTCGGCTCAACATGTTGTGACGACACTTTAAGCAACACAACAAGCCCCGAACTCTTTGATCCAATTGGTATTTCCAAAATCAAGGAAGGGAATGCAGAAGATGAAGCTATGATAAAAGTGGAGACAAACTGAGCCTATTTTCTTTTTTTTTTTGGTGGGGGGGACACAGTTATCTAATGCCTCCCCTTGCTTTTTCAGACAGATACCATTCCCACACTGCATCTAGTCTTTGCTGTTAAAATGCAACCCAACGCACATCTGGGAGCAAGACCAAAGGTGAGAAGAGCAACATTGCACATGGTGTTGAATTGCTCAGGAAATGTGGCACTGACAGCTGCAGTGCGTGGAAAAACTATTCGTCCGCTTCCTGAGATATATAGATATGATGTATATATTTGCATTTTTGTCATACTTTCATTCCGATGGTTTTGATATCCCACTAAGACAACACCAAAAATTCTAAAATGCCTTTTTACCGATGGGTGGGAAAATATTTTTTGACCCCAAAAAGTGAAAAAGTAATTGGCCTCCTTTTTTGAGTTTTTTTTTTTAACCTCAAAGTTAACCAGATTTTTAAAAAAATCCCTCAACGTGATGTGAAAACGAAACTTGACCTGAAACGTAAGTGCTGTAAATATTCAAACACATTGTCATTCAGGAAGTGTGCAAATCTTTTGTCACGGCACTGCATGTCACCCAACATCTCCCGTTTGATATCAGATGATTGTCCTTTCTTTCGAAGTAGTGTCTCTTATTTGTATTCTTTAGGTGAAGGAACCAGGCCAGCCTCATCCCTCTAGTCCCAGGCCAGCCCCTTCCTCTCCCTCATCCAGTAGCACAGCCGAGCTGAGACAGAGGAGGCAGACGTCTTCAACTTCAGCCGCCACTCCAGTCAACACGCACATGCCGGCTTCACCCGCAGGAGTTCCTGCATGGCCCGGTGCTAACGGGTAAGAAAAAAATGCAAACGCTATTGTGGCGCTCTGTATTTTTGGATGCACGCTTGAGTTAAATATTCTGACTTTGAAATGTTTATGTCATCGTAGTGGATTTCAAACTTTCCTGAAATCATTTTAATATTGAGCCATTAAACTGCTTAATGTAGCCATTGCTGACCAATAGTCTTAGTTTTACAGAATAATTACAGTACCGTATTTGTTTGAAGACAATAATGTGACATGCAGCAAGGTCTTTTTGAAAATCAACTCCAAGGGTCTATATTTAGAAACCGCAAAGGAAGCAGGTGTTGAAACATACCACTGACCCGATTTGCATCCTGTAAGTTGTGTCATTTTTGTCTTGACACTACTTGACGACTTGAGCCTTGTGCAATACAGTTAATGTGGCTTTTTGCGTTAATACTTCTACCTTGTTGTTTGTTTGTTTATTGAACATATAACCTCTGCGGTTAAAGCTAAACACGTATATGTGGCGGTGTTGGGCAGATGGTTTTTACTCAACACTGTAATTGACTCCCTCATTTCGTCCTGCAGGACCGGAACACCCGAAATGGCTCAACCAGCATTTCCAGCCTACTCTCTGTACAGCCCCCAACAACTTCTGTGGCTTCAACATGTCTATGCTCGACAGTATTACATGCAATAGTGAGTTTATTTCCCCATCACTTCAAAGGGACTTTTCAGATGTCAGTGGTACAATTCCCAGCAGTTTACTTTTGTAAATTCAGTGGGGGGGAAAAAAAAAAAACTTGAAAAGTTCACCACTGCCTTACTCCGGTGTCTCTTGTGTCGAGGAGACATGAGTGGTTTGGTGTGTGTTTATTTTTCATTCTGTCAGAATTGATTCCACAATACATCCAGTCAGACTGATTGATGATAGAGTGACACCGACAGAAGCAAATGTTTAAGTCTGGCCAATTTTTGTGTTCTCTTACAAACATGACAGATTTGCTCAAGATAATAGTTTAAAATGTAAGTGCACAAAAAAATGACAACCTTCAAAAATGTTTACAAACAAGTACTTTAAAAATGATAAGTGAATCACAAATTTTCAATTTTATTGCATCATTCCAATATTTAATCCAACAAGAAAAAGACATCTCCTTTTTATTCATTGAGCACTTTTTTTGCTCAATAAGGATGAGGAAGAGCTTTTTTATGAACTAAGCAACATCTAAATCTCAACGTTATTTTTTTCCTAATTTTATAATGAGTCTTAACTTTGATTTTAAAGAGCAAAAATAAGTCTTACTAATAATAATGTTGCTCTTTTTTGCAAAACCACAATTGCATTTATTGCCTCTCAACTCTACACAATGGCAAAAATCGGGGAAAACTCAAGGAATAATAAAGTGGAAGTAAGGCTTTATGATTTAAATGTCTGCTAATGCCTTCCGTAATAATTGATGGGGTTTTTTTTTGGCTCCATAACTCCAACGAATTTTATTTCAAAAAGCTGTTTAATACTGACATTTCAAATTTCTTGCATGATACCTCTTTATTTTTTTCTGACCCCAAAAACCATAAATGAGGTTTTCTTGATTTTAGGAGATAATTTCTTCTCATCAAATCACAACTTTAGAATTTCTATCTCTATTCTGTCACACAATCGCTCTTTGGAAGTTTTACCTGAACAAAGCAACTTTGTGTCATCTGCAAAAATGACATATTTTTTCCAAAATCTTGAACACTGCAAATCATGAATGTATTGGAAAAGTAGTTATGGTAACTTTTTTGAGTTGTGCTGATACTCGTGTGTTCTCCCTCCAGTCAAGCAGCCATGGTAGCAGCTGGCACCGGTCCCTCCATAGCCCCTGCAACTGTTGGCCACCACCCACCCGTACCCGCCCACCAGGTACCGGTGCCGGCACCCATCGCCAATCAGAACCCCATTGACAACCTGCAACCAGCAAACCAGAACCCTGCGCCGGATGGTGCGTTCATTGACCCAGGCGTTGCCAATCAGAACATGCAAATGAACGCTCAAGGGGGACCCGTAATGGAGGATGAGGAAGACATGGAGCGAGACTGGTTGGACTGGTTATACTCGGCGGCGAGGCTTGGTGTTCTACTCATGATTGTGTACTTCAACTCCAACCTGAGTCGCTTCCTTCTGGTGATGGGCACCCTCTTCCTCATGTACCTGTGAGTCTACTCTGTTCACCTGACCTCTGCGGGCAAACAAACACACACACTGTTCCAATAATCCTAAATTGTGTGACATCTGTTAAATGTGATCACGTGATTTAACATTTTAATGTGAGAGTAGAGTAAGTCTACCCATGCTATAGAACTCCCTTTCAGTAGTGTACCATCCCTGTGTGGCACACAGTGCTTAAAACGAGTCAATCAATCACGTCAGATGTGTACAAGCTTGGTGTTGTCTTTCTACAAGTTAGTGCACTTTGAAACTTAACACATTCAGTACCAGCCAATTCTGGACCAAGCCTGAAAAGACGTTAAAGAAGTCTTTGGAAGTGAATGAGTTCATTAAGCTCAGTTCCGTTCTTTGCAATTCATCTTAACGGACAGCGGATGGGCGATGGGACTGAAAAGTGAACACTCGATATCAATATACATGGATTGAATTTATTTTTTTTTTAACCAAGTCAAGATAAGAAAAACTAATGGGTTTCAGTAGGGCTGGATGATTATAGAAAAAAAATCATGATCACAATTTATTTGAGAATAAAATAACACATTGAAGCTTTGAATAAACACTACACTTACCACTTTATCATATTAATTTGATGTTATTTTCACAAGTCGTGGACTTACTGGGCTAGCATGGGATGTCGGGAATTGCTTTTCACGCCAAGTAATGAAGAAATGTGTGTTGGGAGGACAAAAAAAGTCCTTTGTATCCTTGAATTTAAAACAGAGGAAATGTCTTGAATCCTTGAAAACTGAACTTTGAATATAACTTGAATGGACATCGAGAGACTAAATGAGCCCAAAATTTGGACAAGAATATATATACTAAAGTAATAGCAATTGAGAAAAGAGAAAAAAAAAACTAATACCGGCTGTTCCTGCATGTTTTGGCCTCCTGGGGTTAGTGTGATGCCATGCATGCATGAATGAAGTACAGTAATCCCTCATTTATCCCGGTTAATGGGGACCAAAAGCACCCGCGATAAACGAAAATCTGCGAAGTAGCGACCAGTTAACATATACAGGTAAAATTTTTTTTTTTTAAGTCCGCAAACGGTCCGCAAGTAGCTGCAAAAAAACAACAGCGAGTCACATAGAGCAACATATATAGTACTGTACTCCATGTATATTAAAAATAAAAAAAATATATAAAAAAAATTTATGTTTGAAAAAATCCGCGATGCACTGAAGCCGCGTTAAACGAACCGCGAAGTAGTTAGGGATCACTGTACACGCTTTCAATGAGAACAGAAGAAAGTTGCGATTTCACTCAATTTAAAATGATTTATTTCTCACAGATTGGGAAGAATTTGTGCCTCTGAGAAGCGTTATCTTACCCGTGTGCATGTGTTGCCACAGCTTTTGAGTGTGAAAAAGTCATTATTTGAAGGAATATTCAGAAGTCGATTTTGTCAACATTTGAATGGGATCCTCCGTTGACTTTAGCATTAGTGCTAGTGACCTTTTTAAAAACGAAGCATGTTTTGTATTTAAATACTGTATACCTTGTGTGTAATTATTTTTGTCGTATGTTTAGTTTTACTCCCAACTGCGATGTCATTAACGTGCTTAAAGGACAGTCGGGGACACATACTCTACTCATGCATTGATGTCCCCATTTTGTTAGAATCAGTTAACCTGATTTGAAAAGGCACACTCATGTCTATAGAAGGCTAAAATATTTTCCAGTCAATTAAATAATGGACTCTAGACGAACAAAATCAACAAATGACTGCTTAAAATCCAAGTGTCACAGCAGAGGGTTTTATCACACATTTGAGTTTTCCTCTTTTTAAATGCATTTGCGAATATAAAAATAAAGTTTGAACTTGTTCGAACTTAATGTACATGATTGAAAAAATACTTTGGCACAAAACTGCCCTGAAATGAATGACTTTATCGCACGCTCTATTTTGGCGAGAGCCATGTTATCATTGGTGGCTAATGATAGCAACCTTATCGTTGCCATGGTAAAATGACAGTTGTGAATTGGGAAAAAGCCAGTGTGGCCAGGTGTCTTTATCTGCCTGTGCCAGTGTTATCATCACTTCTCACCGGCTTGATCACGTCCTGCAAATATTTGGTTTGTATTATGTAACCTAAGCCCACTCGTGTCTACATACACGCAAATTCTCAAGGACGAATCACATCATGAGACATTTGGCTCATATACAGTAAATATATCTATAGCGGTATATAAAATGGGTTGTCCGTCTTTAGTAGAGTGTTCTTAGGAGGTCTTCAACCTTCAGCTTGAGAAAGTGACATAATGGAGTCATTTTAAATAAGTTGTTGTTTCTTGTATGTGCAGTCATACCACAGGATGGTTCATCCTTAGAAGACGACAGCCGTTCCAAGAAGAACCCAACCGCCCGCAGCCCCCCGAAGTCCAGCACAACCAGGAGAATGAGAACAGAATCCCAAATCCTGTATGTAGACTACCACTGTTCATGTTGACTTGATGATAAATTCACTCAGTCTTTTCTTTTTTAAACCCTTTGCCGTCATGTGTTCTCAGGACGCTGAGCCTGCTGAAGAACAGAGGGAAGTTTCTGCTGAAGCTGACGATTCAGATGGACGTGAGCCAATGCTGGCCGTGGTGGTGCCTCCGCACAGGGTGTCCGTCATGTGGACAGCCTGGGTCTTTTTCAAAACCTTCTTCTCCTCGCTCATACCTGAGGCTCCTCGGGGTCTTGCCAACTGACCTGCTCGGACAGACCATCCCCAAGCTACTTGAGGCGCAGTTTGCCATGGAGTTGTTCTTATTCACAGTGGAAGCAAAACTTCCAAGGTGACCAAAAAATTACCGCATCTCGCTGGTGTGAGGGACTGGGGCCGGCCCAGTGGGCAGGAGCAGTTCTGTAGCTCTCTAATAAAGGACAAGAATTGAAATTTAAAACCTAACCAAAATCCTGCCGTACAAAATGACATTTATGTTGCTAAATAAATACGTCGATGAATATGAGGTGGGGGAGGCTGTCAACTGATTGTCTGACTTGTTGCCTCAAGGGCGCTTGTGAAGCTCCGAGCTGATGAATGATTTGGCCCGTGCAGAGTTTAATGCCTGTTAGCCTCTACATCCCAAAAATAGACCCAATGTGTCAAAGTTAGATGGTTTAGAAAACCAAGCTTCACCTTTTATTTCATGTACTTTTGCTGCATGTTAAAATAAGTGAATGGGATTACGCCGTTTCTCATGTGTAAAGCAGAAAAATAAGGTTTTGGGTGGGGTACATGTTCATTTTAGAACCTTGTTCAGCAATGACAGCCAAGAAGTTTAAAGTGACAGTTAAAACGACTGACTGGATACATACAGTATACATTGCTATGCATAAATTAATTTTACGCAATGAGAAGAAATACTGTAACCGAAATCATCAATCCAGCAAGATTCACAGGCGATCACATTGTACAAAGACTGCCTCTTTTTGCCCTCTGTAAATTCGATGTTGGCATGATGAAAATATTGTACATACCTTTATAACGCACTTTAATACGATATGCAAGCATCTTTACACCAGGGGGGTTATTGCCGTAGTTGTTATTAAAACAATTATTTAAAATAGAAATGGTAGAGACTGAGATTCGACAGGTCTATTGGAATCTGTTTGAACACTTGTGAATATGGGGGGGGATATATATATATATATATATATATATATATACACACACATACATATATATTATACATGTAATTTACTTTTCAAATGACTTGAAAGCCCTCCATATGGAGTTCCAACTCTTTCCAGCATTTTCCTCATCAGATCTTGTTGCTACTCACTTGTGATCATTGTTGACGGCGTGCTATCAATGCTCCATTGGTTGATAGTTCACTGTTACCGATGTTCATTTTCAGTAGTCTTTGGATGAAATGTGCTTTTCGTCCCCTGCAATTAAATCATTTCTATGTGGGGCATACAGTGAGCCCCATTTTCTGGCTTTATAACCCTGGTGAGAGGGAGAACATTTTCTGGCCTTGGTCACCATGGACAGTATAAATGAACATTTGCTCAATGACGTTAGATTGAGTTGATTTTGTATGTTGGAAATACTTGCAACAAGATGCAATAAACTTCTTAACTTAAACATGTTTGTGCTTGTTATTGATGGGCCTCAGTGTGATTACATTTTTAATTTCCCCAAAAGACTTCAAAGTTGTTTTTGACCCCAGGCTGAAGTGAATGGATCTGGCATGTCAACACAACGGCGTGATAAATATTTACTCTCGAACAAGAGTTTGCTCTCTAGTTTTGAGTGCTCCCAGTGACAACAGTGGAACATCCATGTGATTCGAAGGTGTGCCACGTCTGCAGGAGCCTCCATCGTATCCAGTGGTCAGTGCAACAGTGGATCATAAGGTTTGCTTTGTTTGGCAAATACTACTGAGTCCTCTTAACAAGTGTTTTTTTCAAAATTTGCTTACAGCTTAAGCGTTGCTGCATGTTTTGCAGAGCAGACCTGTCTCACCCGAAAAAGAAAATATGTCACCCAGTTTCACTGCTTGTTCTTCTATTTGTACATAATAGTTCATTCTTATTTTGGTTTGGGAAGTCGACGTATCACGTTCACTGCCCGGTCGTTTCGCCATGATAAAGGATTAGCATGACCGTCACTTATCGCCGCTGCAGTTATTGTTATGGAGCAGAGAACATGCGCAAGTCCTGTCAATGCCGTGATTGGCTGCATAGCGTCATTGCATCGAATCGTGTGATTGGCTAGATACCTGTCACTCACTGAACAGTTGCGCGGTTTAGAGCGAACATTGGTGTCGTTGCATCTCCTGTAAAAAGAAGTAAATCTAAATGAAAGATACCTTTCATTGTATTGCCTCGCGTCGGAAACTTCTCTTGTCTCGAAACATAAGGCAATTTCCTAGCTGCTGCTGCTCCCTACCGGTATGGAAGAGTACTACATGATTAGTCTTCCAGGCTATCGACCGTACAGCCATACATATTGTATAATTTTCCACGGCACACCTGACAATATCTCGCGGCACACCAGTGTGCCGCGGCACAGGGTATAAAAAAAACACTGCTCTAAACTGTGGCGCTTATAACTTGAGTGACACCCCACCTTTCGTACCTCCTTCACCACGACCAATGCGCAAATTCACATAGAGATGATATTTTAAAAGAAAAACGGAAAAAAAGGTTTCTTTTTAAATTAAGAGAACCTTTGTTCCCCACGATGCAAGATATGATTATTGCGTCTCTCTTACAGCAAATGACTCCACAAGGGGGCGCAAATTCCAAGTGACGTCACACAATGGGGGGGGGAATTGAAATGGTTTTCTAAATGAAGCAATGGCGCTCTGTGCTGCAGCACATAATGCATAAACTGCAATTGGTTATACATTGTGCAAATTGAGCTGTTGCTTGTGTTGATTATTATCTATTGCCGAAGAGGACCTGCTTTCTGCCGATGGGCAACAAACATTCCGGGATAAAGTACAAAATTTTCGTTTTTCTCTAAGAGCAGGGTGTCAAACTCATTTTTGTCGTGGGCCACATTGTAGTTAAAGTTTGCCTTGGAGGGCTGTTATGAATTCTGGGACACCATACAAATGTTTAAACACGAGAAAATCAAGAAATTCAAGAGAAAATCGACAGATAAAAGTGCTAGGGTGTGTATGTATATAATCCGGATCCAAACCAAAAGTTGTAAAAATAGATAAGTATAGCACATATAAGGGTAAAAGCATTAATTTTTATGCAGACTTCTCCTTTCTTTTCTGATTGATATAAAAATGATCTATTTATATATTAATACATAAGTTGGGGTGGGACTAGATAAGTTTTTTACTTCTTCCTACTCCTTTGAACATATAATTGTGTTGTATGGTGACTGTTTTTGTTTCCTTTTTTACTATTTTACTTTACTTTCTGTCAATTTATTACTGTATATGTTTTTATGTTCAATAAACAATAAACAAACAAATGTGACCTACTTTTTTTGTTTTATTTAATTTATTTTACAATACTTTTTTTGTGCTTTAAGTGCAATGTGCACTATCACAAAAATATATAGTATTAATAATACGCACACAGACACACACATCATTTAAAAATATTCCCCCTTCCATTTACCCCTACACACCTCACGGTCATTTTGGGACCAGTCCGCGGACTATCGGCGGACCGTGATCGACTCGTTGGGCACTCCTGCACTGGAGTAACCACCGAATAGTGAATGTGGTGTACACTTATACCCCCACTAGATGGTGCTATATTAAAGGTCCCACAGACACAGACTTTTGCTGTTAATGAGTTACCCCCAACAAATACAAATAAAAGTAACTGGGTTCAAAAAGGCTTACTGCTGAAAATCGTGCTCATATCGGAATCGTCTCCTATATTTAGTTGGACTGCATAGATTATTTGCAGTTCTGACTGGGTACCCCGTTTTAACCTCTTAATCAGAAAAGCAAGGACAGAAGACATTTGAGGGGGGAAAAAGGTTGGTTCTCTTCATATTGTTATGTTAGCCTCCTCCACAAGACATAATGAACTCGATGAGTGATATTTGCTCATTTTAAAGGTGTTGTTTTGGTATAGCATTCCATTCTAGTTTGGCCCTTTCTGCAATAAAACCCAAATTGATGTAATCTTCACTAAGATCTCTTTGAATGTTGCTGACTTTTTGTACTGCTGACTGCATGGGAAAAATCACGTTTTGGTCAGAGAATGACAGACTTTGTAAGTGTGGCAGAGCAATTGAAATCTGTACAGTATTTGTGTGTGTGCATTTGTTTTGAAATAAAATGATTGACTGAAATGACAAAACTGGATGATTACTTTGCATTTACTCTCTTTCAGAGGAAAGATCAACATTTGAGAGATAACAAAGTCAAGATCACAAGTAGGGTTATAAATGAGGTAACGGTAGCAGCTTCGGCAAAAACCAGGGGCTACACTGACAAAAGAGCCCAACTGTGAAAATGAGCCTGAACTCCAACCAAAACTCACAGATCCCAGGGGCCAAGAGAGTGGGTCCAGAGTCCACTTACAAAATGACTCATGGCGTTTCTCCACTGTTACTCTTCCTACTCCTGTTTTCTGTGTATGGATCATCTCATGGGTGCCTGCGGGATACCAACTCAGCCTACAGATTCACTGGGGCCGTGTGCCGTCTCACCTACCCTGCCGCTGTTGTGTGTGAGTATCTTAACAGTCTGTCGAAGCATTGGACTCATTAAAATGGTTATTTCTCTTTACTTGGTATCTGACACTGGCAATTCTGCCTTACCAATGTAATAATAATCAGTCTGGTTTGTCACACTCAGTTTAGAGAGGAAGTCGAGTCAAACTCCATTTTTTTACAATAATGTTTTATCCGCCCCCACTTCTCTAAACACAACATTCTGATTAATATTGCGTTTGTGGAATATGATTTAAGCAGCAAAATCCCCCATTTTTATCCATCAGAGGGGGCGGCCATTTTGCCACTTGCTGTCAACTGAAAATGACATCACAGTTGCTCAGGGCTCAGGTAACACCAATGGCGGATGCTGGTCTGTCAAGGAGGGGAAGCTCAATTTCGGCCTACATCATAAAATGTGTCCGTTTATTTATACGTGAATTCTACTCTCCGTTTCTTTTCAAGAAAATGATCTGCGACCCTGTCATACCAACAAGGCGTCTTTTCCTGGGTCTTAACTGTGGTGATACAGTATAAGTCAGTCTGCGAACACAAGCAACTACAATAAAACACACCAGAAATAAAAGATTAATTTGTCGCTCGTCGTTTTTAACAAAGAGACTGTCTGTCGCTAAAATGATTAGAATTCTCCAGGTCAACTCAGAACAGAATGAGAATTGAAAAATGCTCCCACGGATGCCGACACCAAAAGATCGGAGAATGGCTTATTTCGCTGTCAATCAAAAAGAGATTCAGCCTCAGACAGATCATCCAATCATCATGCAGAAAAGCTGAGCGTCCGGGCCAGCCCATAAATGCCCACTGTCCATAGACTCCCAGAGACGCTGAGCGTCCGATGGGCGGGACAAAACCAGCATTTATCCAATGACTTGTCTCGTTTCAATGCATTGGGACTACTCTTGAGACGAGCAGCTTCCGAGCTGCAGACGCTCAGCGTCCACACAGTTTAAAGCACAGTGAAGCTGCGGGAGTGAATGAGAAGAGGGTCGCGTCGTAACCAGTAATAAGAAGCTGATTCGGAACAAAATTTGAGCACGTTGTAGCGCAGATTTAGTCAATGACATGTACACTCAATTGTATGTACATGCATATGTTTGATCACTTATTTTTTGACATTTTAGGGGAAGCTGAGCAATTTGCAAGATCAGATGGAAGACCACGTGTCTTCCATCTGATCTTGTGTAAT